CTGCCTTCCCTCTAGTCTTTCACTGCTAAATTAGGGACAGCTAGTGCAGATAGCTCTCGTGTAGTTTTGCACAAAATTCAAAAACAAAACAAATTGTCATTGATCTATCTATCTGTTACCCTTCATTTTTTCAATTTCTTGGATGGTTGACACTGACCTATGAGGCAGTGATAATTTTCCAATCATTTTGAAAGAGATTAACCGTGGTGGATGTTACCTGACCCGAGTCATTGGTTTCCATCTATTATTGACTGTGTAGAAGCAGCAACTGATTGCGTAATTCAAGCAGCTGTTTGTTCTATCCCAAAAACCTCGACACGTTTCTCACAGTATCCTCGTCCATGGTGGTCTCCTGCCTGCCAGCAGGTCTGGAAGGCTCAGAAATTGGCCTGGGATGCCTTTCACAGGTATCTCACTCTTTACAACTGCATTGCTTTCCAGGTGGCCTATGACCATGCTTTGGCCAGTTAGACATCAGAGCCACAAGGAATCTTGGATTAAGTTCCCCATCAACATCTCTTCTACCACAAGTTCCAAAGCCATCAGGGACAAGATTCAAAAGGGCAATTGGAAATATTCTTCTCATTCTTTTTCCATTTTGCTCTCCAGTGTCCAGGAAGTTGCTGGTGTTCAGAGCATCGCCGATACTCTTGGGAAGAGAAGCTCCAGAACTTCTGTTTCTTACCTCACCTTCTTGGCCATCAAGTCTCAGGAAGAGCAATAACCTCTTTCCTTTTAGGCTGATCGTCTCTATGACTATAATCGCCCTCTTACACTGGTGGAACTTCAACTTGCTCTTCATTGGTCTGGCAGTACATCAGTCAGACCTGATGACATTCACTATGAGATACTATGCCATCTCTTTAGTGCCTTTCTTACTCTTCTTCTCGTTCTCTTTAACTGGATCTGGTAGGATAATGATTTTCCAGATGCTTGGTGCAGAGTTATTGTTCTTCCTTTCTCAAAGCTTAGAGGATCCCAAGATTCCTTCTAATTATAGTCCAATTGCTTTGACTAGCTGTCTCTGTAAGGTCTAGGAGAGGATAGTTAAAACACATCTTAGTTGGTTCCTTGAATCAAAAAACTTCCTCTCGCACACCCAATTGGTTTTCGTAGACGTCATTCCACCATAGACCATCTGATTCGTCTTGAAACTTCGATCAATGAAGCGTTCTTCAAGAGGGAGCATCTTGTTTCTGTTTTATTTGATCTTGAGAAGGCTTATGACACCACTTGGAGGTTTAGAATTTTACAGGACCTTCATTCACATGGGTTGCATAGCCATTTATCCATTTTATTTGAAATTTGTTCACAAAACTGGAGTTCAACCGTATGGGTTCAACCATTTCAAGTTCTTTCACACAGAAACTTGGAGTCCCTCAGGATTGTGTCTTGAGTGTCACACTTTTCAGTATCGCTATTGCAAATGGCTTCTATGTTGACGACTTCTACATTTCTTGTCGGTTGTCAAACATGAGGTTTATTAAGCAGCAGCTCTCACTTTCTTGTTGAGGTGGACACAGTAAATGGTTTCACCTTTTATTTCTCTAAAACCGTTTGCATTAATTTTTGCCGTCAATGGGGTTTACACCCCAATCCTGAGCTCCATCTCGATGGTTCCTGAAACAAAGTTCTTGGAGCTTCTGTTTGACCACAAACTGACTTTCATTCCTCACATTAAGCAACTTTGTGTTAAATGTACTCTGTCACTGAACAAACTCTGTGTCCTTTCTTCCACCTCTTGAGGAGTGGATTGATGTTCCACGCTCAAGATCTATCGTGCCTTCATATGATCCAAGCTGGACTATGGGTCTATGGTTCTGCCAGACCCTCTGCATTGAAGATGTTGGACCTTACACTCTGTGGAGCTTTTACTCTGCATGGGGCTTTCTGCACTTCTCCAGTCCAGAGTTTGTACACTGAGTCCCAGGAACCTCCTCTTCACCTCAAATGTTTGCAACGTTCTGTTCTTTATTCTACCATGCTTTGATCCTTACCACAGCATCCCATCTGGGGTTATTTCTTCCTTCCTCAATGGGCTTTGCTTTTTCAAAATCTCCAGTCTGCTATTCCTCCATTTGGCCTTCATATCCAGGCACAGTTGACGCTTGGGTCTGCCATTGGATGATGTTGCTGACTCCAATGACTAACCCATTCCTCCATAGCTCGTTACCACCCCAACCTGTGACCTTTCCTTGAGTCATCTTAGGAATGTCGATACTCCCTATTAGAAGTACTATCTTCTTATTGCCGAACATCTTTCAAACCATCCTTCTGTTCCAGTTTTCATAGATGGTTCGAAGTCAAGTGACCCTGTGAGCTCTGCCGTGGTATGTTGTGGCTCGATGGTTGTCCACGGGACCCCCTATACAGTTTCTGTGTTCACTGCCGAGTTGTATGCCATTTTTCTTGCCTTGGATCACGTAGAAGCTATGCAGTACACTAACTGTAGTATTTACACCAACCCTCTTAGCTGTCTACTGGCCCTGGAATCGCTTAATCGCATTCAAACCAACCGGCCCATTTTTCTCCAGCTTTCATTTCTATCCAATTTTTCTGGATACCTGGCCATGTCGGTATTCGCGAGAACGAGTTTGCTGACATTGCAGCTAAGTCTGTCTGCTCTGGCTCTGTCACAGCCAATTGGCAGTCGACTTCAGGAGAACAGTTTCATAACAAGCTTTTCCAGATTAAACCTATTGTTTTCATCTAGATTTCATAAAGATCGAAGGGAGGAAGTTGTCTTGGCTAAGCTACACATTGGTCACAGTTTTTTAATGCATCATTTTCTTTTATGTGGGACTGATCCATCAATGTGTGACCTTTGTGACACTTAAGTCACAATTTCCCACCTTTTGCATTATACCATCGCTATGAATGTGAAAGGTGACACCATTTTAGACATGTTTTTCTCGGGGTTTACCCCTGACATTGAACAGTGTCATTGGCGATGGTGATACTGTCCAGCTTAACTGTGTTTTTAGATTTTTGCAGGCCTTTTTAATTCTGTTTGAGTTTTTTATCTGATTTTTGGACACTGTTTAGATTTAACTTGTTTCTGTTTATCTTTCCATACAGTTTTTGCTTTGCTTTTTATACTAGTTGTTTGGTGCAGATAGCCACGCTGCTTTGCGCCAATTTACCCAAAAAACCAAACAACTAACTTGTTATACATTTGTTATATATTTTGAATAAATGGTGATTGGATGAAAAAAAAAAGCCAATGCAATAGTAAACTGAATGCATATGCACGTATGTAGCTTAAAATTTATTCTCCATAAATGGACATAAAAAATAAACCTGTAATATATGAAGACAAATATGTTTTTTCAAAGAAGATTTTTTATTTCCTAACTTACTTATAAAATGATTTGGATAATCATTGATTTAGAATACAACTTACTTTCTGTTTCATAAGGTTTTCCTAGAACAATAACTGCTCCTGCACTAACTGCTCCCAGAAATACTATTGGGAAATCAATGTTGTGAGATGTACAAATGCAAAATACATCTCCAGGTTCCAATCCTTGCCGTATGAGGGCACTTGCAAATCGACGACTGTAAAAAGCAACTTCCTTGTAGGTGTAAGAGGAAGAATTATCATGCGCCACCTATATTAATAATAACAAAAAAGACTGAATATTTTATTTTCTAAATGAATATGACAACCATAATCCTGCTCTCGTATCATTTAAGGTTTAGAAATATTTCTTAATTATGATCTCAGCACCAAAATTTACGAACTTAAAAAACATTCATTTTGAATAAAACAAGTTACTACATTAAAAGTAAGAGTATGATTAATTTTATAATTTTCATAACTTTCACCTACTTTCTAGAGTGAACAAAGAAAAAAAAAACAGTATTTTATTTAGATAACTTTGTATTAACTAACACAATAAGAAAAATGGATAGTTAATGCAAATTGTGTAGAGTTCGTTTATCATTTTAAGACGATGGTCCTTATATATATTTTATACACATATATACACACACACATACATAAAAAAAACATAAGTTATTTTTCAATGTGCAAAAAGATTCCTACTCATATGTTAAAATAAAAATAACACAAATATCCGAATGTACGAATATCCAATATAGGTTCTCCTCATTTAATTCTTAAGAACTTTGTAATTTCAATTTTTAGATAATACTAAACAACTTGATCACCCTTGTTTAAATGCTTACCTAAGGGTACATCTATCATATACCACCATTTCTTGTGATCATATCTTATTAACTTATCTATGTACAACAGAGCAGATAAAATAAGAGAAGAGTAATACATTGTTATACACGACAGTAATGTCAGCACTGGATATAGGATATTATATTTATTATTATGTAATGTAAAGATAAACTTTATTTAAACAGTTATGTTAATATTTACACCAAGAGGAAGGATTGCGTTAAAAACAGCTAGACCAAACCTATGATGAAATAGAAGATATTAATAATTCAAAACAAGCCTTAAGAATATAACGCCGCATAACAAAATAAATGGAGTTTCCAGGACACGGGCTATAATTTGGGGAATATAAAAATGTGTTCTAAGATTTGTTATTGCAGAGTTTTCTGTGTTTCCCCAAATGTACACTCCTTTGTACTCATGCCGTGAACATAATTTAGAAATGACAGTTTCCAAAATGAAGAACTTATGCATAAGAGCTAGCCACTGAGGGTAGTTCACAAGGTGAGAATGTGGTTTAGAAGAAGACTTTGTCTAGACATTGTTTTTCACTATCATTCATGCAAAAAGCTATATCCACAATCTTGATACAGCCAAAGGTTCACAAAGAACCATGGCCTTGGATACCCTAGGATGCTGACCCTGTTTTCTCACTGCAGATAATATGAACAACATAAAGGCTAGAGGTTATAGCGGTGGTGTTATAAAACCAAGTTGGTAGGTCTGTATAAGGCACTCAGAGGAGGATCGAACTCCACTATAGATGTATCTATGCAAGGAAGAGAGTGGATGTTCCTCTGGTAGATGATATCTGCCTTTTAGCGAAATAAGAGTGGAAGAAACAGTCATGGACGAGGTGTACTGATGTTTGAACCCAGTAGAGAAGTGAGCTATTCATTGGTCCAAGTTCAAGCCTCAATTTGGCTTCTTATGTGAAGCAGCAGAATAGAGTTTAGTTTTCAGCTACAATGGTTCAACCTGTAATATTATTAGTTCAACTCCTTATCTGTCAGAAACTGAGTGACTAAGAGTTTTCAATTCTAAGTTGAGTTATATAACTAGAATCTCCTAACCCTTCAGGCTTTCTTGTTTTATTCGTTTTTCAGTAGATATTGACAGTCAACAGCGATTTACTTGATTATCTTGCGAGGTGCAAAATTACATTATTTTAACTTTGGCAAGGGGTACCCAGTTGTACCCAAGATAATGGGGTGACTCTTAGCATGCAGTAACTGTTCCTTGGAGAATGAAGGACCATAAATAACATCAGATTTGCTCCTTACCCCTATGCTACCTTTCCCAAATGCCACCACAGCCTAGTATCTTGGCTACAAACCATTGTAGGTTGCTTTATCGACTGTGATTCCTGTGGAGCACATCAGCTCTCTTGCGCGCCCCATTGGAGGATCAAAAGATACCTGCAGTATTGCAACGACATACATGCTTACCTCCAATCAAAACAAAAAAAAACAAAGACATTCCTGTAGCTAATGAACTGTTCCAAAACATCCGTGGGACACAGCAGACAGCTGCCTAGACGTTAGACATAATAATTAATGTCATGCTATTTTCTCGTTTAGAACTTTTTAATGATTTTGACTACTACAAAATGCTTTTTAATAATAAAAGATTTTTAAAAAAGATTTATAAGAATTGTCATCCACACAAAAATGAAGTGTATTAACTATTACCTTATTCTCATGAGGCAAACACTCACCACAAATATTTTGTCGCCATTTTTTTCTAGTAACTGATATATAAATTCTGGCCAAGTCACATCAGGAGCCTTGATAGCAGATCGTGGAGATAGGAGAATTTTTTCATCCAGTGTGTCACATATATTTTCTTTGAAAACGTTGTGAGCCATGCCTGTGTGATTTTTTCAATTGATCCTGTTAAAAGAGTTATAATCATTTATCAAATGAATACAACAACAAAATATCAGTTTATTAGTGTCAATTTCCAGCAAGAGGTTGTTCTTCACTTTAGTCCTAGAAAAGACAAATAAAACTAATTATGTTGATAAATAAATATTCATATACTTTGTTAATGAGAAAGCCAACTATGTGTTTTAGAAGCACGATCCATAGTGAGATGGAAAGGTAATCAGCTCAAGAATTTTTAGAAAATTGTGACCAGTAGTTAACTTGAGTGAGTTTCGTTGATAGAATGATATTGAGGAGATATAGTGCGTAGTAGATACTTTGATCTTAAAGATTAAGAAGCCCAATATCTTAGTTATTCTTTGTTTTTTTCAGCTAAGAATAATTTTCTGTAAAATTTAGTTAATTTTCAAAAGATATCGTTTTTGAAATATATAGATAATATTGAAGTTTACAATTGCTGATTATAATAAGAGAATTATGAATAAACATAGCAGTGTTTTCTAGTTGTAACTTATTTTTATTTGTTGAAATGGATATAACAGTCTTATTTGGTTACAACTTAAGTTATTTCTTTCTGTTTAACAAACACTAAGAACCATCAAGAAAAGTGTGATATTGGTTAGTTGGTTGTGATGAAGCACAAAGCTACACATATCCACTGTGTGGCAAAATGTGATATAAATGCCACGATAATCAGTCACGTTTCCGTCATTTGTCTCATTTTTGGGTCTAATGAAAGTATGTATATTTTTCTAGTAAAATCAAGAGGAGGTAAAATTAAAATTTGACTTACAAATCAAATTATGTAATTACTCAAGTCACTATAAGATAAGTTATACTTTGAAATTCATACCTGATGGGTTTTTTCTAAAATGTAATCTGTCAAAGAGGAGAAATTTAACATTGCTAATGCTGCACTTAAGACTTTATTATTATTGGCATTTTTTCAACTGAATGGTATCTTATTCGATGCAGGGGTTAAATGACCAGGTCACAAATCCCTGGAATTCATGTGTAATATTCCTAGGTTCACTGTTTTCTATTAATATTAGTAGAGTATTTTCCACTGAATAAGAGGAGATCCAACACAAAAGACATCATGGAACAAATTTGAATTATCCGACTTCTAATGAGTTTGAAGCAAAGAACAGGACAGTCTTTATTCAACTCTTAAACTGTCAAAGTTGAGAAGTGTACAAGACAAAACACAGCACATTTACAGAATGGTGAATTCCATAAACTCGTAAGAACTTGTTAGTTTTTATTATCAAAATTTGGAAAGAAAGTTGTACAACTTAAATGAAGAACTTTACCAGACTGAGCACTTGAGCTTAAGATGGAGAAAGACAGTTAACTGAGATAAAATAAGACTATCACTTGCCCTGCCATTGAAAAATATCACTGTCCATTTCTACAAAGTATGTCCGACTTCTTAAAAAATCCTACTCATGAGAAAACAGATGCTATACCCTAGGTGAATGACTCAGTTCGATAAGTAACTAAAGCAAGAGGAATTCAGCTACTTTATTGACTATATTAAAACAACGCACAACGTATGTAGGCAGTTCTTTGGCAAATTGAATGCTAGAAATTTTTTCATTAATGTAGTGTACAGATGTTGAGATTCCATGTAAAAGAACATAATATTTTCAGGAATAGGATAGATAACATCCCAATGATAGGTCAAAATATTGCTTACAAACCGAGTTTTACTACATCATGTTGGACCTAATATAAACTTGTTAATGGGTGTTGTAGATGACCATTTATCTCGAGCTCTGATGAAAAATAAACCCATCTGATATAGATCCTGTTGAAGCTGTAAATGCAAAAGAAAAAACACTTCATGGGCAACCGATTGTGTGAACAACAATATTTACATTATAGATTTGAATATTGGCATAACTGTGATTGTGAAATAATATGCAAATTAAGATTTCTTGTCCTTTATAAAACAAATTATCTCGTTTGGATTGTATGAAATATTTCTTCAATAATTTTGTATGCATTACAATTCAAACATGATTAACATCTCTAAAACAAACCATACGCAGAGTTCGAACATTTTACATATAAGGTGACACCAACTAGTTCATCAGAAGCTCCCTTCACTCATCAATCTGAAAGGTGTTCTTCTTCTCCATGACAATGCACGTCCACATGTGGCACGTTTGACCAAAAACCCAAGATTATGGAGTTGGGTTGAGAAGTTTTCCCCAACCCATCATATTCTCCAGATATGGCACCATCCCATACGTTTTCCCATTAAGATGGTGTTGCAGCGAACGAAAAAGATGGTAATCTTAAATAAAGAAGGTGTAAAGAAGCCAAGTGTATTTCTTTAATCAGGGCATTAACAATCCGATTGTAAGATGGAAAAGCATCATCGATAAGAATGGAGAATATTTCATTTAATAATTGTTTTGTTTTGATATATAAGTTGTTCGGGTTTTTCATTTAAAAAAACGACATTAATTTCTTGAAGACTTAATAAATGACATACCGCACTGAATTAGTATGGAGACAGCTTTTATAGATACCATACTATATTTGTAGTCCATTCTCTTTGTATATTACTTAAATATATCACTTATTGTAGCATTAACTTCTTATTTATTTAATTACAAATTATTATAGACATTTTTTCACATTGATATAGACTTTGACAAATATGATTCACTTTCAATTATAATTATTCTAATCACAATTAATTTATCAAGAAAATAAACTTACTACTATAGCTCGTGGGACTAGCATTTCGTCGAACATATTACTCAAGATCAAATAAATAATGATATTCTTGAAATTATACATTCATAACATTAAGGTTGAGGGCTGAAGATTAAAAGCCAGTAGAATATAATATACGTCATTGTCGAGTATTTCAGCTAGAGTGTTATATATATATATATATAACACTAAACGTTGATTTAATGTTTATTTTAATTAATAGGTTTACATACTGTACTTGCAGGTAAACATTGTAATAATGTTTCTAGTAAGCCCTACCTTATCGCATACTTTGCAGTTTGCGTTGGTTGTGCACTGTTCACTGTATGGAATGCAATTGTAAGAACATTATCTACCTACTGGAACCAGTATTGTGAAAACAACTTTTAAACGCTACAGAAAATATTTCTAGACGTATTTATAACATCAAATGGTGTTTTCTGTTTTTTACGTAGATTTTGTTTATCCGAAACTAAAACATACGCAAGATAGATATAAAGTGTTTTATATCAAACTATTCAAACCCCAACATTGGAGTTAAATCTCGGCTTTTCGAGTACCTTAAGTGAATTAATCTAATGAACTTACTGTGATGCTCAGACTGAATCAATGATTGTGGATCATTCTCCAAGAAAGATTATTCCTGTGTCTCTCCACAGTGGTTACTTAAGAGTAAATTTGAAACAATGTACTATTTAAACCTAATAACAGCCTTTGAATAACATGACTAATACACAAACATTAAAAGCTGTATTCGTGCAATGGATTCTTTTGCTACTGATTTTCATAGAAAGGAGATAAAAGAAAGAAAGCTGTTCAGTAGCTAAACAAAATATTTTTAAATAATGTACTTATACATGAATAGAATACATTTCGTATATATTCAGTAAATAAGCTTAAACTCTCGAGGCTGGAGAAGGAAACGTAATTTACTTCCATATAAAATATGTGTAATCTTTCAGAGGTCTTAACACACACACACATATATATATATATATATATATTATTGTTTAAAACTTTAATGTCGATCTAATCCCAAAAAAGAAACTGTAGTAAATGTTTTAATTTGATCTTTTCTTAGAAATAGCTTTTACAGAAGTGTTTCTGTTTGTATCAATGATACATCTCAGTAATACAGATATATCAATTTACATAATTATCATCATGAATAAAAGTCACTTTTCGTTAAGAATGATGATTAGGAACCATGTGAAATTATTTATTTAAGATATTATTTGAGGAGATAAAGAAGTGAATAAAAGGTTATCATTGTTCGTATTTAATTCCAAAGAAAAGAACTGTCATATTATTTCAGGCTATCGTTAATGTTTTTCCACTGGTTAATGACTTTCTTAAGACAGTTAAAAATCGATTGTATACTGTGTTTGTGTTGCATTTCAAGTTCATCATTAAAACACGTACAACAGTATCGCTGAAACTCTGCTCTTACCTACACAAGTGCCGTTTTACCTGTCTCGACACTGAGTGCTGCCATGGTATTTAATTACTTTCAGTAGCTACCAGTGTTCTGTGGATAAGATTGACTTACATAAAGCGACTCAGATAAGTACATCTAAGCACGTAAATCGTGCTTAATTGATCACACGACGCACAGTTTTTGGTTTTATTGAAGTAGATGTTGATTTTGTTAAAAGACATTTTCTGTATGAATGATACTTTCAAAATCTTTTTGTTTCTGAAATATACATTAGTTTTCTCTATACTGTATTTGGTTATTGAAAACAACAAATTCATTTACTTAAGAACATATATGGATTGCCACTTTAATGACCAAGGCTTTAACAGGGATTTGCTATTCAAACATGGTTAGTTATAACAATCGTGTTTGTGAACATCTATACCGTGAAATGTTTGCCTTTTAACAAGAAGAATAACATTCAAAAGGAAACTACAGTTAACTCAGTTATAAAAAGGTAATTATATAGACGTTAGTAGCAAAAATATTTTAATACATTTCATCCTATACATGTAAGCATTCTTTTTCATAACAACTGACACCTTTTTTTACACTTGTGAGTAAACTCTTCAAAGCTCTCAGCATGAAGACCAATTTCTTTTTAATTTATAAACAGTTTTATTATATCTAAATAATATGTGACTGAGTGAATTCTGTATAGAGTAAAGTATAATTTGGTTGTTAATTCACAGTCAAAATGTACCATAGTTTGTAAGCTTTGGTTAATTTGCTAATGTAACTTGTAAAGAGAGAAAAGTATGTCTTATATCATTGTTTATGAAAGTTTCAAGATAG